GGAGTGGAAACCCGTGTGTGAGCGAGCAGCACAATGCACTTCCCATGCTGCTCATACTCTGGTGCCTGCTCAAAGCGAGCTTGTTCAGATGCTGCAAGACAAGCTGGGACATCTACAAATCCTGCAAGTCTTTGTCAGTCGTAAGGTAAGAACGTTGCAAAGTCCCCTAGGAGCTATTCCCGCCACGGTTGCGCCGATAAGAATTAGCTTGGGGTGTAAGATTAGTCAGGATAGTCAGATGTCGCTTGAGTGCTTGGGAAACGAGAACCGCACCACGATGTTGCCGGAGCGCAAGAGGATGCGGATTGGAGTGTTTAGTTTCCTGATAACTATTTTAGGCCACCGTAAGTCCTCGACAGAGGAACCACGGCCTGTGATGCCACCAGCCGAGTCTGCGACATCCGGTAGTCAATCGTTCAGCCCTTCCAATCCGAACAGCGCTGAAGCCGGTCCAACGCGACCCGACCTTGAAGGATGGGCGCCGCCACCTGTGCCCTTACATGGCCCGGCATTCCGCAACTTAGACAAGGAAGCTAAGACGCAGCTGATTCGAGTACATAATAACTTAGGTCACCCGGCCCCGCAGACCCTAGCCCAGCACTTGAAGGCCGCAGGAGAGAGCCCATCCATGGTCCAAGCTGCCTTGGACTATCAGTGTGATGCCTGCCTTGAGTCCACAGAGCCACGACACCAAAGGCCCGGAAAGCTTCCCAGTAATTTGGAGTTCAACGACCTGATAGGAGTAGATGGTTTCTTCTTCAAGGGCCAGTCGGGCTACCGAGCGTACGTCGTACATTCTTTGGATGAGGCTAGTTGTTTTCATCTTGGCCGGAGAGTTGAGAATCGCCAGTCTGCACAAGCCATTAGGTCACTGTCTGATTTCTGGATGTCATGGGCCGGGAACCCCAAGAAAATTTACTTAGATCCAGCAGGGGAATTCCGTTCTGAAGAAATTCTAGATCGTTTTCAGACAATGAATATAAGGACTTTTGTGACTGCAGCAGCCTGGCAAAGAGGTAAGCTAGAGAGGCACGGAGACATCGTCAAAGATATGTTGCGGCGTCTTGACCTTCAGAGCCCACTGGCCAACGATGATCTCTTTGATCAGGCCCTCTTACAAGCCTTCCAGGCCAAGAACGCATTGGTCCGACATCAGGGATATGCTCCCGAGCAGATCGTGTTAGGTAAATCCCTCCGTGTGCCCGGAAGCTTGTCATCTGATGAAGATTTATCTTCCCATGTGATTTCAGCAGGAGAGGACTTAGAAGCTGAGATGCACCGTAGGCGTTTAGACTTGAGGTGCCAGGCTAGGAAAGTCTTCTGGGATGCTGACAACTGCCAAACAATTAGACGAGCCATGCTCCGTAGGAGCAACCCCCAAAGAGGTCCCTACCATGCCGGAGATTGGGTTTTGTACTGGTTGAGTAAGTCCTCGCCCAACCGACTGGCAGCAGGAAGATGGCACGGACCCGCAAAGGTTATCACTCAAGAGGGACAATCCATAGTCTGGGTTTCTCACGGTACCACAATTCTTCGATGTGCCCCAGAAAACTTAAGGCCCGCTAGTCTTCGTGAGTGGCAGCAGTTGTCCAATCTTGAGGGTGAGCTACCCACTAAGAATACCGGGGGTGCCAGCACGTTTGTTGACCTCACGCAGCCCAATGCTCCGGTGATATCCGGGTCCGCTCCATCAGATCTTCCGGAAGCCGTGACCACAGTTCCAGCGGCTCCGAGTGTAGAGGGACCCAGACCCTCGGAGGAAGAAATTCCACAGCCCGAACAAGAAATGACACCACAGGTCTCAATTTCCCCCGAAGGTCTCCCTGCAGCTCCACAGGAAGTTGAGCGCGAGCCTGCTGGCTCCGTCGCCCCTGCTGTGTTTCCGAGCGCAGACGCCTCGTCGTTTGAATCAAGATCTGCTCCAGATCCTGGAGATTCCCTAGATGCCACCCAGATACCTGTGCCTGACTCTGAAGATGGACTCCAGTCCGAACAAGTGTTCTTAGCATGCCAGTACCTTGATTCAAATGCTGAGGATTCCCTTCAAACATTTATGACCCTTCAGGCTAGCACAGAAGCCACTGGTCCTCTTTTGGCCGAGGACGAGCTCCCCTATGTGGAGTCTCCGCTATGCTGCAGCGAGCATCAAGCCTTCTGTTTAGAGATTCCTCTTAAGGCTAAGGATATGAAGCGATGGTCCCGAGAAAATAGTCCCGAGCAGTTGGCAACCATTGCGGCTGCAAGCAAGCGTGCCAGAGCAGAGGTTCACCTCAAAGACCTCACACCTGCCGAAGTGAAGTTGTTCGATGAGGCCAAGCAAAAGGAGATTCAGTGCTGGATTCAAACATCCGCGATAAGAGCAGTCCTAAGACAAAAGCTGAATCCCGAACAAATCTTGAAAAGCCGATGGATTCTGACATGGAAGAGCCCAGAGCCGGGCGAAAGCCATCGTAGAGCTAAGGCTAGGCTGGTTGTCCTAGGGTTTCAAGATCCAAAGTTAGTCGATGTTATGCGGGATGCCCCCACGCTCTCGAAAGAGGGCCGTGCGTTGGTTCTTCAGACCATAGCCTCGTGCAAGTTCCAGCTAGGTTCTTTTGACATTAAAACGGCCTTTCTGCGTGGCAAAGCTGATGCCAGCAATCCTTTGGCGATGGAGCCTCCGCGAGAACTTAGGCAAGCCTTGGGTCTTCAAGAAGAAGAGGTGTGTCAGTTGCTGGGAAATGCCTATGGGAGAGTGGATGCTCCACTCCTGTTCTACAAAGAGCTGAGCAAGCAGCTGCATGAGCTAGGATTTGTGCGCCATCCACTGGAGCCTTGTGTGTTTCTGCTGTATACCGGACAAACACTTAATGGAATTCTAGGAGTTCATGTGGATGATGGTGTCTGTGGAGGGGATGACAAGTTCTTAAAGAAAATCCAAGCGCTACAGGCCAAGCTTCCTTTTGGGAGCCGCAAGTTTCAGAGCTTTGTCTTTACTGGCATCCACTTGGAACAATTCCCAGACTTTTCCATTAGAGCATCCCAGGCTGAATATGTAAAGAACATCCAGCAGATTGACATTGGGCGATCCCGTCGCCTCACGCCTGACAATCCAGTCACCGAATCTGAAAGGTCAAAGCTCCGAGGACTTGTGGGCAGCTTGCAGTATGCCGTGACGCATACAAGGCCAGACATGGCGGCCAAGCTGGGTGAGGTTCAAGGTCAGATCACTCAGGCCACTGTTCAGAGCCTGTTGCTGGCCAATAAGATTCTTCGGGAGACACAAGAGAATGCTAAGGTTTGCATCTATTTTCTGCCAATCCGGCCCAGCGACCTCACCTTCGTGTCCTTTGGCGATGCCTCGTTTGCTTCTTCCAAGAACTTAAGTTCGCATCAAGGGGCATTAGTTTGTGCCACCGACGGCAGGTTGAATAAGAATGTTGAGGCCCCGGTTTCCCCACTCACATGGACCTCTAAGAAGATCCCTCGAGTTGTTCGGTCCACGCTGTCCGCAGAAGCTTACGCAATGTCAAAGGC